CAAAAAGAATGACCAAAAACTATTTAAGAATTGAATGAGAAATTGTCTCACAAAGATGGCTTCATGAATGAGGTATTGGGAATTTTGTATAACTACCAATCCCACATTGATTGTAGAGAAAAGTTTTGATGGGTATTTAAACCTCAAGATTATTAGAAGGGCATGAGCCATTTGTGCATCCAAATTTTTTTGAAGAAATGGAGGCATGGATGTTTCAAGGATGGTCTTGGGCCAAGACTATGGTCCAAATTGGTTATGGCAAAGTTACCAAACCCTCACGCACGCGCTGCCCGCCTACTCGAACTGGGCCGGGCCCTAGTCCATGGTTCGTGGGTCTTGGATCTTGGATCTTGGGCTTGAGGCTTGAGGCTTGAGAGAATGGGTTAGGTTTGGGCTGGGCCGGATTGGTGGTCCACCAACCTAGTCTTTTTGTGTCAAGTCTGCTGCAAAAATAGACACTTGTGTATACAAAAATATATATAAAACATTTTCTCCCATCAATTTTGGTCCATTATTCCAGTAGTTTTGTAGGAGCAATGGCCATTAATGGCCAGTCTTCATGGCTAGAGACTCCTCCTCTCTGCCCCATGGTGTATAAAAGGAGAACAATCTCCTTTAGTTTTGGTACAAAATTTTTGCCTTCCAATTATATAGTCAGTTTACTTCCTTTTATAATTTTCTTCCTTTGTTGAGAGAGTGCTGTCATTGTTGGTTCACCAAAGTTAACAGAAAGTGCTTCTTCGTTAGCCAATCTAAACCATCTTATCTTGGGAGACAAAAGTCAACGTTCCTTCGGCACCCACGGTGAGGCGACTAATCTGTTTTAAGGACACTGTGGTATCACACAGAATTTGATTTGATTTATCGTCTTTCAATATATCATATCATATGTATTTCTGTTTCATTTTCTATAATGTAATTTGTCAAGTATAGATTTATTTTAATGTATCGAATATGAATCTATTTATCTTGTTTAATTATACAATTTGAGCAACACCTATAAAAAAAGTTCAAGTCTGGCTTCTTCTCAAGAAAGAAATCCATAAATGAGAGGTACAATTTATGCTTCTTAACCCCATTACCTTCCTTTTCTCTCAATTTGCCATTGCTGAGACCATGCATTTACATTTTGAAATGCTTTGTGCTTTCATTTTTCTTTTTTACTATTATTTTTTACTTAAAAAATAAATCAGTGTGTTTGGTTTGATTTTTCTGAATTAAGTTTTTTGACAATTGAGTTTTTTGTTTTTTGTATTTTTTTATTTTTAGTGAATTTTTTAAAATTTTAAGCATTTTTTTTTTTACTTTTTCAGATGTATCTTACTTAAATGTTTCTAAAAAGTAAAATATTTGTGAATTTTTTTTAAAAAATTAATAAATACACAAAAATACAAAAAATATACTGAATTTTTATTTTTTATTTTTTTGTATTTTTGATATTTAGTGAATTTTTAAAGATTTTTTTCAAAAAAATTATACTTCTTAGTATTTATGTTAGGTGTGTCTAAAAAATTTTTTAAAAAATTGCTTAAAATATTAAAAAAATTTAGTAAAAATAAAAATATACAAAAAATAAGAAAGTAGAATTTTCTAAAGAGTGTTTTTAGAAAACCCAAACCAAGGCATAAAGAATTAGAGAAATGATTTAATTCACAAGAAGCCCATTTCAGACAATGCTTAGGTTTGTCACCGGTTACTTTGGCTCAGTGGACAATAATTTACTCTCGTCCTCAGTTCAGGGCCTTTAAAATGGTGGTTATGTCATTAAAAATCTGAGACGTAAACTGGCCCACACACGTAACACCAGGGCCCAACATACATTATTTGAAACTCATACTAACTTAAAAGTGTAAACCTGTAAGTGGAGAGCTCATCTAATATATTAAGACTCACTTCTTTTATTCTTTATCTGATATGGGACTCAACCTTCACACATGCTCCAACATGTATTCCTGTAAGAAATGATTTTTGGTACCATGTTATTATTGTGTGAATAATTTCTAGAATGTTGAACTTATGATCACTTTGATGTCTTTACACATCATATCATGGTAATGTGCGCATGCACTGCACTGCACTACGCTATACGTGCATATATATGTTACTACGATTCATAGTTTTAGATTTAGATTTTTTATTCATCTTTTGTATAAATCTCATGATCTTTGTCATGACACAAAATTTCCTTATTGATTGATTCTCTCTTGTTATAATACAGGTGTGTAATTTGCCAAATGGAATATAAACGAGGTGACCGGCAAATGATTCTTCCATGCAAACACCTCTACCATGCTGATTGTGGCACCAGATGGCTTAGGAATGGTTTATAATGTTCTAAATAAGTACATTTTTTGACTTTTTATAAAATAAATAAATAAATAAATAAATAATGTGCAAAAAAGTAGACAAAGTAGTTTAAAAAGTAAAGAAAAAATGTTGATAAATGCTGATAAATATTGATCGATAAGACCTAAATAAATGTATGTATGCACAAAAAAACAAAAAAATACACTTTTTTAATACATGCCAAACAAGCACTTGGGAAGTATTTTAGTAGAAATAAAAGACAACAAAATGAGAAGTTATTCACTATTAAGTCCACTAAGTATAAAATATATTTCCAAGTATTCTTATTGAAGATAATTACATAGCACAGTCAAAAAGCATGGACAAAAATGACTTTGGTGTCCATGCCTTTCTTCTACAACACAATCATTGACCCTCCCTATCTCTGGCGACCTCTGCAGCCCCCTCCCTCTCCTCCCACCCCCGCAACCCTACCTTTTGCTGGTTTCCACTCTTTTGATCTTACTAAAAAGAAATCAACCTCAAACATCAAACCTGAGTGCTTTGTTTGGAAATTTACGAGAATTATCGGATATAATGTTGTTGGCTTTGCACCTTATCATCGTCGAAAGTACCTAACAACACCGCAAAAGATGGCCACGTGACCTCACTTGAACCTTCATTGGCTCCTCAATAGTTCTTCAGACTTATCCTTCAAGGATAGGTGAAAGCTTTGATTTGGGTCTTTGGCCAGTCTGTAGGGGAAAGGAAAAACGTATGGACAACAAGACATTTGTGGCCATGCTTTTTCGATCATTTTGTAATTAAGTTCTGAATATGAAGATGTGGGAATATATTTTCAAATTTAATAAAGTTAATAGTGAATCATTTCTCATTTGCTACCTTAATTATAATAATCACTTCTCATTTTTACCAAGAGACAGTAAATTACTTGCGGTGTGTTTGTTTTCTCAGGCTTGCCCCATTTGATACGCTGAGGTGTTTGGTGATGCGCCAAAGCACTAGAGTTGTCGCTAGCAAGCACAAAGAAAAGTAACTCCATTTGTATTTTGTTTTTGTCTTTCTGAGTTTAGTTTTATTTTCTTCACAGAACATTGCTTTCGTTTTCGTTTTCGTTTTCGTTTTTCCACGGTTTCTAAACTAGGTCTACTTTATTAGCTTCTGTAGTAAAATGAAAGATCATGAACGCAATAGGAGATGATTCTGTTGTGAAGCTCATTACAATGGCTTTTATTGGTTCAAGTTTGTTATATTAGTAGATGGTTAAGATGAAACCCACTTTATGTGGAGGTTAAGACTTTTGTGCCCCTCTCGTGAAGTAATGGGGCAATTTGCCAAGTTTCTTATAGTGACTTGTATTGCACTCCTAGGTATTCTCTATTTACCCACCAATGTCGGTTTTCAAGTACGAGTACCTTTTTGTTGAGGGTAGTTCGAGTTTTTTCCTCCAAGTATGCCATGGGTTACTTCAAAAGCGTAAAGTTGGCTCGCTCTTGAACTTTGATATGGCCTCGGTTGAAGATGGATTTATTATTCTTGTTTTTCATTTTCCTCATTGGTTCAAATTCTCAGCTAGTTAATTTGGCCCTTTAACCACATTTAAGTTATTTATTTATTTATTATTTTTTTAATTTAAAATTAAACAAATAATTTACAAATATAAACACTTGACAACAATATAATGTGAAAAAGTAATTCAAACAATGTATTGGGTTAAGTTAAAAAAAAAGGTTGGCAATATTTTTTTTTATTTTTTGAAATATGCTCATCACCTATTTGTTGTAATTTCAGGATGGGATAAAGTTTGTGTTTTTTTTTCTTTTTGAACCCAAATCAAGTTTGTTTGTTACTATTTATTTAATTTTGAATTGAATAAAAGAAGTATATAAGTGTTAAAGACCCAGCTAATTGTAATTAAGCATTTTAGTACTTTTTCTTTTCGATGTGATTTTTGGTTGTTGGAATGAGTTTTTCTTTGCATGCAAACAGCTCAAAAAAAAAAAAAAAAAAAAAAAAAAAAAAACTAATGAAAGGAAAATTTTAATTTTGATATTCTTAGTTTACTATGACAAAGTATTGAAATTTGAACTAGTGGTAGTATTTATTGAAGAACAATTGAATATTTCATTGTTATTCTTTTATGATTAGATACAGTGTGTATTTATATAGATGATGTAGCAACCTCCTAACAAACTATAACAAACTCTAACTACTAACTAATCTTGAGTTAACAAACTCTAACTACTAACTAACAATCTTGAGTTGAAGCAGAGTGAGCTACTGGTGTAGAACTTGAGACTGAGTTAGCTGCTAATGCTGCTGATACTGAGGTTATCATCCCCTTGCAAGCTGATGGGAGGAGAGGTGACCAGCAGCTTGGATTGAAGATACTGGAACCGAGCAACAAACAGTGGTTTGGTGAAGACATCTGCAATTTGCTCAGCAGTGAGTATGTAGTGAAAAAGAAGCTTCTTGGAAGCAATTTTGTCTCGGATGAAATGACAATCAACTTGTATGTGTTTAGACCTTGTGTGAAACACAGGATTAGAAGCTAATGCGATGGCAGATAAGTTATCACACCAAAGAATAGGAGTGCTTACAAGAGGGAGAGAAAGATCATGAAGTAACATTTGTAACCAACTGAGTTCAGCCGTAGCATGAGCAAGAGAGCGATACTCAGCTTCTGTGCTTGATCAAGAGACTGTAGGCTGCTTTTTAGCAGACCAAGACATGATATTAGAATCAAGGAAAACACAATATCCAGAGGTAGATTTGCAATCAACAGAGTCACCAGCCCAATTAGAATCAGAAAAGGCCTGGAGCTCAAAAGAACTAGGACAAAAACTCAAGCCATGAGAGAGTGAACCTTGAACAAACCGAAGAATCCGTTTGAGCAGAGCAAAGTGAGCATTAGTGGGTTCATGCATGTATTGACAGGCTTGATTCACAGCTAAGGACAAATCTAGAAGAGTAAGAGTTAGATACTGTAAAGCACCTATTAAACTTCTGTATAACTGAGGCTGGTTAAAGGGAAGATTAGCAGCAGGAGTGAGAACAGGTTTCATGGACATAGGAGTAGGACATGGTTTACAAGAGGTCATCCCGGCTTTAAGAAGAATGTCAGAAGCATATTTAGATTAAGACAAAAAATAAGAATCACCCACTGCTTGAATAGAAATGCCCAAGAAATAAGAAAGATCACCCAATTCCTTCATGGCAAAAGCAGAGTACATCTGGTGAATGAGAACTTGAATATGAGAGGGACTACTTCCAGTAAGTAAGAAATCATCCACGTACACGAGAAGAACAGTAATGGTAGTGGAAGTCTTATGAATAAAGAGAGAGAGAGAGAGAGAGAGAGAGAGAGAGTTATCACAATGACTATTCACAAACCCTTGAGGTAACAAGAACTTGGAGAAAGTAGAGTACCAAGCTCGGGGAGCCTGTTTGAGGCCATAAAGAGCCTTCTGTAGCTTGCACACATGATGAGGAGATAAAGAGCTAACAAAACCAGGTGGTTGACTCATATATACTTCCTCATCCAAAGTGCCATGTAGAAAAGCATTGCTGATGTCAAGTTGTTTCAATGGCCAATGATAATGTAAAGCCATACAAAGCAAAACCCTGATGGTGAGACGCTTAGCCACAGGGCTAAATGTCTCAATATAATCAATGCCTTCTTGTTGTAAAAATCCCTTAGCAACCAACCGAGCTTTATATCTGGCAATGGAGCCATCATTGTTTCGTTTGATTTGAAAAACCCACTTACAACCAATAGCCTTCTTAGTAGAAGGAAAAGGGACAAGAGACCAAGTGCCCTAAGCAAGTAAAGCATTATATTCTTCAAGCATAGTAGAATGCCAAATGGGTGAAGTAAGAACTTGTTGATGAAAAGAAGGTTCAATATCTATAAAGGAAGGAGTAGTACAAGCTACAAGACCCTTAGTTTTAGATCTGGTAAGCATGCGATGAAAATTGGCAGAAGAAGTAGAAGGTTGAACAAGTGGAGCCGAAGAAGGTAGAGAAGGTTAATGAATAAAAAGAGAGTCAATAGGAATAGAGTGAAAAGGAGGATAAATGGTAGATGTCTGACCAATAGGTGAAATAAGTGGAGAAGGTAAAATCTGAGAAGCTACAATAGGCTGAGATGAAGGCCTAAATAGAGGAAGAGTAGAAAGGCTGACAGAAGAACAATTCTGAGGAACTGTAGAGGGAACAGTAGAAGAGCTGGTAAGAGAATAGACCTGAGGAGCTACAGAGGAAGAAAGCAGAGGTGCTGTTGGTGGACAAAGCTATGCAGCAACTACAATAGACTGAGATGAAGGCTACGCAGTAGTAGGTGTAGGCCAAAAGAAAGAGTGAAGATGGGGTAAAGACTGAGCAGGAACAGATGAATGAGTGGAAAAAGGAAAAAAAATCTCATGAAACTGTACATGTCTAGAAATATAGACTTGACCTGTGGTCATGTCCATACATCTATAGCATTTATAAGATGAGTGATAGCCAAGGAAAACACATAAAGAGGATCGAAGCTGTAATTTAAAATGAGTATAAGGTCTTAACCAAGGAAAGCATTGGCAGCCAAAGACCTTTAAAAAAGAGTAATCAGGTAAGACATGATAGAGAAGCTCAAAAAGAGATTTGTGAGACAATTTGGCACTAGGCATTCTATTAATGAGATGAATGGCAGTAGCAACTGTATCAAACCAGAATTTAGTGGGAACAGAAGAATGGTGAAGCAAAGCAATAGTAGTTTCAATAATGTGTCTGTGTTTACGTTCAGAGACACCATTTTGTAGGAGAGTATAAGGGCAAGAGAGTTGATGCACTATGTCTTAAGCCTTTAAGAATTTAGTCGTGGAAGAGTTCACAAATTCAGTGCCACCATCAGTCCTTAACAATTGAAGTTTAGCAGAAAATTGAGTCTCAACATATGCTTTAAACTCTAAGAATTTTGAGAAAACTTCACTTTTGTAACATAGACGATAAAGACAAGTAAAGCGACTATAATCATCAATGAAAAGCACATAATATTTGTATTCAGATAAAGTAGAATGAAAAGGCCCCCATACATCACTATGAATGAGAGAAAAAGGGTTATTCACAGTAGAATTTGATAGTTTAAAGGGAAGTCTATGACTCTTAGCCATACTACAATGTGTACAAGGACTAAAAGCAAACTTGGTTTTATTGAAAGTAAAAGACAAATGCTTCTTTAAAGCAGTAAACTTCAACTGAGATGAATGGCCCAATCGTTTGTGCCAAGTGTGTTCAGAAGCACATGCAGAGGTCTTTGTCAAGAAAGCAGTAGATGAGGCAGAAGAAACATACATAGTAGTAGGATGATGAGAAGAAGACCACAGAGATGGAAAGTGATACAGGCCATTAGCATTATAGCCCTTGTGTAAAATGGCCTTGGTGTTCTTGTCCTGAACCACACTGGAAGAAGCATCAAAAGTAATAGTGCAATTATTATCTTTGGTGAGTTGATGAACAAAGAGAAGATTGGAAGAGATAGGAGCATGGAGGAGTTCATTGAGTTTAAAAGAAAAATGAGGAGTAGGAAGGATACCTTTATTTGTGTGATGAATAGGAACAGAAGTGCCATTGCCAACTGTGATCTGATCAGGACCAGTATAGGATTGAGAAATAGTGAGATTGGAGAGATCATGAGAAATATGATCAGAGGGAGCAGAATCAAGATACCAGGGAGCAGCCTCAGATAGAGAAGGAGGAGAAGCAGAAGCAACATAAGCTCTTGGTGAAGGATAAGCAGAAGAGAGTTCAGAAGAGGACTAAGATGAAGAATGTTGAGAAGAAGCATGTGGATGCACAATTTGATGAAAATTCACATCCAGTCTGTGCCAACAATCAAGAGCCGTATGGTTACCTTTGCCACAGATTTAACATATTATAGCAGGTGAATAGATTCTTCCTTTACCTCGAGAGCTCTATTGTCCATTACCACGAAAAGAGCCTCGAAGTCCTCCTCTTTGGCTTCGAAAAGAGGATCGTCCTCCTCTTGAAGAAGAAGATCCACTGGTGGAATCTCTCAGTGACACATAGGCAACTGTGTTTTCGTGTGATTGCATTTTTCTCTGTTTGGAGTCTATATGGAGAGACTCAGAACACAGAAGAGAAGTTAAGTCTACCATGGAAATAGGTTCAATCTGAGCACGAACAGTAGTTTTAAGAGCATCAAACTCATCTAGCAAGCCATTCAGAGTAAGCAGTACCAAATCTTCATCATCCATAGGTGATAAAGCAAGAGCTAATTGATCAGCAAGCTCTTTGATTTGAGTCAAATATTCTTCAATTGATTTGGAACCTTTGGTTAAATGAGTCAATCAATTCTTGATTTGATAGATGTGAGAACGAGACACCATGGTGAAACGTTTGCAAAGAGCAGTCCATACCTTAAAGCTATGTTGCAGATGAAAAACAAAAGAAAAAATTATAGGTGTAAGAGTAGTAGTTATACAACTGAGCAAATGAGCATCAGTCTTGTTCCAAGTTGCTCGATCTAAATTCAAAACTTCAAGGCCATTGGAGTCAGTGATCATCAATGGAGGACATGGAACTGATCCAATTGCAAACTCTAACAGATCAGTAGCTCGTAAAATATTTTGAAATTGACTTCGCCATATAAGGAAATTGGTGGAATCGAGTTTAACTGTGATGAAAGAATTCAGATTGGAAATCAAGAGATTAAGATTTGCAAGTAAAGAAGAAGAAGATGAAGAAGATGATGAAGCAACCATATGTGGATCAGAACTAGGCTCGTAGGAGCTTTATTGTAGCTCTGATACCATGAAGAACAATTGAATCTTTCATTGTTATTCTTTTATGATCAGACACGGTGTATATTTATACAGATGATATAACAACCTCCTAACAAACTATAACAAACTCTAACTACTAACTAATCTTGAGTTAACAAAATCTAACTACTAACTAACTATCTTGAGCTGAAGCAGAGTGAGCTACTGGTGTAGAACTTGAGACTGAGTTAGCTGCTGATGCTGCTAATGCTGAGGTAGTTTTATCATTTATTACAAATGCCAGAAGATAAGATAGAGACTTTCATTTTTTAATATTTTTTTCAAAATTCTTGATTGGGTTTTTATAATTTTTAAATATTATTATGATAACTATATCAATTCCACATTTAATTATTTAAAAATATGTAATATAATCACATCTAACAAGCCCCACGAATTAAAATAGGCACAAAATGTGAGAATTAAAATAATTCAATAAAAGAAAAATACCTCCTGTCATGATGTTCAAACCTTTGAATCTTTTTCTTGATCAAGTCTTGAATGTATAAATAAAACCACACACAAAACACAAAACACTTTTACAGAACCATATAGAAAAGTGAAAGGAACAGAATTTCAAGCTTATTCTATTCACAAACAACATCTGTATTTTGATGACTATCACAGGCATATATAGATAGGCTTGGACCCATGATCCAAGTATAACTCTTTATAACTTCCCACCATCAGGGAAGTTGTAACTTCCCATGAAACCACTATGTGAGATAGTAGACATGTTTCATGTTAGTTACCCATTACCCATTAACCCGATTAAATATATATATATATAATAAATAAATAAAACAAACATGTGGCATATAGGCTACTTTATGGATATTCTTATATTCTCCCACTTGGCACATATAATACATTTTGTTGACTTTCGAGTAACTAACAAACTGATTATGGCCATTAAATAAAAATACCCAAACCTTAGAGTCATAATACACAAATCATGGCTGTTATACTCTATCAATTGAGTATTTCCTTCCATGTTTTTCATTGTATGATACTCTCAACTTTATGTGGTGTCATTCTTTATGAATAACTTCTAATAAGTTATTCTTTGTCCAATGATCCCTATGGATCAATAGTTCCAACGGACTGCATAGCATCACAAATACTTTAGGTGCACAAAATGATGCTTTTCTTTAATAATAATCAAAATGTCATGACAAAATAAAGCAAAACAAAACAATAACTAGAAAAACTATTGAGCTAACCAATTAGTCTCATGCCTTCAACGTGTTTTGAAAACACCTTTACAGAAAGACCTTTGG